TTGAATATGCACCACAATAATTGCTTTCAAAGCTTTATAAAAGTAATTTAAGATTATTTTTCTTAATAAAATAATTTACGAAATTGAAAATCAATTACGTTTGAATTATATAAATCTATGTTTCGAATGCGTGATACAATAAATTAGTACTTTGTAAACTTCGTTACTCAAAGGCCAAATATCATACTTATATTAGTTATTTGGTTTTCTTTTTTGGCTAATGAATATTTTAGTTCACTTACAAGAACTGATCACATTTATATAAATATTAGAACCCCAATTAATAAATATATAAATAAAAACGTTATATTCACTACAACAAAATCGGGTTTATAGGACATTCTCAATTTCTAAGTGTCCTAATAGACCTCTTTATAGGACTTAGTTTATAGAACCAAAAAAATAAAGTGTTATATCTAAAGGTGTTGTAATAAGTTTATATAACGTTTTTTGACGTCGTAATTAGTTTTTTATGACACTTTTAATATAAACCGTCCCATTATTAACTTTATAGGACACTATTTGAAAAATTGTCCTATAAAATATTGAGTTTGTACGACAATTTCTCAAAAGTGTCCTATAAAGTTGCTAATGTGTCACTTTGTATTAAAAATGTCCTAAAAAACTTGTTAAGACGCCCAAAAGCGTTATATAAACTTATTACAACGCCTTTAGATAGGACGCTTTATATTTTGGATCTATAAATTAAGTCCTATAAAACGGTCTATTGGGACACTTAAAATTGGGGGTGTCCTATAAACCCAATTTTATTGTAGTGATTCTTGATGGGTTATATAAATTGTGACTTATTTTGTCAAAGAAAAGAAAATACCACATTTTCATGGTCAATGTTTTCCATATTAATGCAAGAGTAAGACATTTACCATTGCCATATGTTCATACATAGTTGTCTTCGTATGACTTTTAAACAATCTGGACCATATTCGACGTACCGGATTGAATTAGACAAATACTAATCAATGGTGTCATCTATCTGTAGGTCCGTTCCCGACATTTTATAGGTTATAAACGAATGTAAAAACAGAGCCTACTGCAAGAAACAAGGCTTTTAACGATTTTTATCGTCGCTAAAAATCCATTTATCATCAGAAAGAGTATACTTAGGCCCTGTTTGTTTTTACTTAAAAAACACTTAATACCCTCTTATGTCTGAATCGGTCAGACCTTAGGGTATTAAGTGTGTTTGTTTTTTTTTCAATTAAGAGCTTAAAAGCTCTGATTATGTCTGAATTATTTAGAGGTAACATTTTCACTTAAAACCTCTTAATTGCTTTTAGAGCTTCCAATGCTTGCAAAGAAAGCCTAGATTTCAATGATTCAGATTTCAGATTTCAGACGTAAAAACAAACAGTCTGACTGATTCAGATTTCAGACTTCAGCACCAGCTCTTAAAATTCAGAAGTGAATTCAGACTTCAGACTTAAGCACCTCTTAAAAAACAAACGTCACCTTAGAGTTTTTTATTTTAAAAATAAAAACTAAAAATAAGGGCACAACATTTTGGCCAACAATAATTCACATCACCCAACAGGCATGCAACTTGTACAGGGGGCTTTCCAGTTTAAGTTTAAGAGAGACATATATCCATAATTAAAGATACATGATGAGATGAAGACAAATTCTCTTGCTACTTAGCACCTTTTTGAAGCATATTCCTTGTATCATCCAAGTTTATATGTTCTTGTTGGCTACTTTAACACTATTTTTAACCAATGATCAACTTGTTGTCAATTAAATCTTGGATGAGAAATTGAAATAAGCTTAGATCTGTTTCTGATATCTTATAGACCCTAAATCTATATAAAATAAGGGCCCTTGAAAAAATACTGATGAATGGTTATTATTTTTAAAATATTAAATTATAAAAAATGCTAATAATTCACGGAGGGAATAAAATGTGTTCTTGTTTATTATATACCTAGAAGAGTACTTAAGATTCACGTACTTCTTATTAGGTAATTAATAGTCGATAATGTATGAAAGAAGAGTGGTGTTTTGAAATCCTAAAGTGTAGATATATGATTTAGGGCCTGTTTACTTGAGGCTTAATGAGCTTAGTGGATAAACCGGCTTATTCGCACAGACAAGCTAGGCTGTTTACCTTGGGCTTATTCGTTCAGAAACGGGCTTATTCGCCCAGATGAAAAACCTGTGTTGTCTAGGTTAAGCCAAGGTAAAAGACTTGCCCAACCCTTACACAATAGTCGCGCCTCTCTCAACTCACGTCTCTTCTCCATCGATCCAACACCCTATTGCCGCGCCTCTCTCAACGCAAGACCTTAGATCTCTTCTCCATCGATCGACTGTTGGTCTCTTCTCCATCGGTTGTTGGTCTCTTCTCCATCGATCGACGGCTGTTGGTCTCTTCTCCATCGATCGACGGCTGTTGCCCTCTTCTCCATTGATCGATGGATGTGATCGATGGCTGTTGCTCTCTTCTCCATCGGTTGTTGCTCTCTTCTCCAAAATCGATCGATTAAGGTATTTGCTGCTGTTAATTTTTGCTGTTTGCTTAAGGTATTTGCTGTTTGCTTAAGGTATTTGCTGTTTGCTTAAGGTTTGCTTACCTGTTAATATTTGCTGTTTTTATTACATTTGTTTACATGTTAATGTTTCAAAAATCACACAGTTGTGTATGGCATTTGGTGATTATGGGTTTTGGTTATGTTCTTTATCCTACTTAGGTTTTAGGTTACAATGACTGTGAAACATTTAGGAAATTAGAAATTGGGTACAAGAAATCTCAAGCTGTTGTTTGCACCTTTAGTTGATTAGTAAATAGAGATTATGGTATATATCATGGAAACAGGAAATTTCAAGCTGTTGTTTGCCTTTTTTGGGTATTTGTTGTTTGCTCAGGGGTAAATTGGTCATTTCTGTTATTCAGACTGTTGATTCAGACAGAAAAATAAACAACAATATAAATTTATCCAGACAGACAAATTTATCCATACAGGACTTAATAGAAAATTTTGTAAACAGCCCCTTAGACCATCCACTATATCACTACAAAACAA